AGACCTCCTAATAGCTTCTTGTTACTAGTAGCTTCAAAGACCTCCTAGTCGCTTCTTGTTACTCGTAGCTTCAAAGACCCTCTTAATAACTTCTTGTTACTAGTAGCTTCAAAGACCTCCAACTAGCATCGTGTTACTAGTTTCTAAGACCTCCTAATAGCTTCTTGTTACTAGTAGCTGCAAAGACCTCCTAAGACCTTCTTTTTACTAGTACTAGCAGCTTCAAAGACCTCCTAATAGCTTCTTGCTACTAGTGGCTTTAACGCCCTCCTAGTAGCTTCTTGTTACTAGCAGCGTCAAAGACCTCCTAATAGCTTCTTGTTACTAGTAGCTTCAAAGACCTCCTAGTAGCTTCAAACTACTAGTAGCTTCGAAGACCTCCTAATAGCTTCTTGTTACTAGTAGCTTCAAAGACCTCCTGATAGCCTCTTGTTACTAGTAGGTGCAAAGACCTCCTAATAGCTTCTTCTTACCAGTAGCTTCAAAGACCTCCTAATAGCTTCTTGTTACTAGTAGCTTAAACGACCTCCTAGTAGCTTCTTGTTTCTAGTAGCTGTGAAGACCTCCTAATAGCTTCCTGTTACTAGCAGCTTCAAAGACCTCCTAAGAGCTTCTTCTTATTAGTAGCTTCAAAGACCTCCTAGTCGCTTCTTGTTCTAGTAGTAGTAGTAGCTTCAAAGACCTCCAAGTTTACTTCAAAGACCTCCTAATAGCTTCTTGGTACTAGTAGCTTCAACGACCTCCATAGCTTCTTGTTACTAGTAGCTGCGAAGACCTCCTAATAGCTTCTTGTTACTACAGGTGAAACGATTTTCCAGGAAGCTTCTTGCTCCTAGTAGAGCCGGAGAACCCAAGATGAATCTCGGAGCCAAACATGTCTTGTAGCATTTTGCAAGTTGAGAGCGCCGTCTCTGTGGACACGCCGCCTCAAACTCATGTAATTAGAATATTCCGACGGTGCGAAGCAAGCAAAAAGGCATGAAAAATCATGTAGGTGCCACAACAAATACTGGTGTGAGTGCAGGTCAGAGTACTTTCTTTTTCAACCCTCCTGCCCTTCCGCAGCCAAAGGCCCTACTTCCGCTGCGGCCCAGCAACTCAGGCTTCTCTTCTCGGATGCCTAACAGCTCGGAGCGCAAAAGCTGTGCATAGGCGCTGTTGTTCTCCGCGTCCGCGACCTCCATCTGCAGGTAATCATGGGGAAGTTGCTTGGGGGGTCCGACCCAAACTGTCCAGGCGACAGCAAACACCTATGACCAACGGAGTCAAAAAAAGTGGCCTTAGAGGAGTTCACACCGACAAACAAAAGGCATCCCGAGAAACTACCATTCCAATGACCCACAACTGAGCACGATATGTGTTTTTTTTTTGCAAACCAGCTCACGCTTGGTGCACTCGTTGCTCGGGCACACCTGTGGCTCTGAGCGCTCCAACAAGGCGAAGCGGTTCTCAAGGTCCGGGTCGCAACGGGGGATGAAACGGTCCAACTGCTCCTGACAGACGTGTCAAAGAGCCAAAACAAAGACTAGAGTTGTGAAGGCGTGGGGTAGAATGCTTGCGAGGGCCTTTAGGCCAGGGCTGCCACTTGGGAGGAAGTCCGTTTTCAGAATTGAGTGGTTCAGAAAACACTTTCCGAAAAGGCTCTGACCTCTGGGCATGCGCCAACAGAAGCAAGGCATAACAAGCTGCATCAACTAGGCATGTTGAATGGGTGGAACGGTGGAACAACAATCTTAGTAGCTTTCATTGCAACCCACCTAAAACAACCTTGCGTCCAGAAAGCCGACGTTCCCCTTAATTATTGATCATGTCATCATGTTCGAGGCGTTCCTTCCATCGCAAAAGGATCCTCAGGTGCTGCATTTGTCCAAGCATGTTTAGCCTCCGTTGAGACAAAGCGCTGACCGCTGCACTCATATAGCATAATAATCTATTGCGTTTCATCCGCTCCCCTTACCCACGAAACAAAGCACAGCAAGTGGGGGAAGTTGGGGCCAAACCAAACTGCTGTGATTCTAAAGAATGCTTTTTGCACCCACTAGTTTTGTTCAATTGAATTCTTGATTTTGTAGTTTGCGGGCAACCCAGCCAATCCAGTGTGGCGCCTCGGGCGGCTTTGCTGGTGACTTCTCCTGCCTTGGGTGGCAATTCCCTAAAGGGGTGCAAAACCTCCCCCACATGTCACGAAGAACTTCTTGGGCCTTTAGGCCCTTTAGGCCCTTTGGGCCCTTTAGGCCCTTTACGCTTTAGGAACCAAAAACTCACAAATGAACATAGTTTGTAAAATGATACAGTAAATGATGAGTTGGAGATATGTTTGTTCATTGTCCATACCATCCATCACTACTGAGTATGACGTGGAATCTGAGTTCAGCTATGAGGCCACACATCTTCACCCGGCGCATAGTCATAAGCTGCTTCATCCATGCCACGAGACGCGGCTGCTCCCCCAACCACGAGTGGCACAAGGTGAAAGCCACGAATGGTGTGGTCGACCCGCAGGTTGTCCCCCAAGCGAGGGCTGGTGATCTGAGGTCTGGTGTAAGCAATGAATAGTTCAGGCCTTAAAGGGGGTTGGTCTCCAACCTAATAGCGATGGCCTCCAACCAAAGAGCTACAGTAGGCAGTGTTTAGTCCTTGTTGGAAAACCAAAGGGTCCATCACGAGACGATGTTTTATGGTGGCATGCGTGAGAAAAGAATCTTTGGCCAAGTGAAGTCTACCGTGGCTCGATTCATATGATCTTGCTGGACTGCTTTTGGTTGGGGAGCAAGACCTTACCTTCCGTTGGAGAATTGGATTGGCCGAAGACCCGGAAGCAAAAACATCCATTGTCATTGGCAGCCTTCAGTTGCTCTAGCTATCCTCTTGCAAACAAACCGAGGGATCTTCGTTGCCATTCTCCATCTTGGCTGTTCTGAGCTGCAACCACCTTCTCTTAGTCCTCTGCCAAAACGTTGATACACATTCAGTATATGATCTATACATGATCTATACACATCCCCAGTCGACTAGATCTATGGAAAAGTGGGTGAGGATTGTTTTGTAAATGGTGTATACCGAGAACCTCCACTTAGCTCGGAGCTGCAATGGCCACAGGCTGAACAGGGCTTGCGAGGTTGAAACTAAAGTGATTGTCCGGGTTAAGGCATTTGCAGCATGATCCACGATACCAGAGATTTTCTTGCAAGCTTCTCACTCAAGATCCCGATTCTAGTAAAGCCACTAAGTCAATCATCAATATCCTCCACGGACATCTGGACATCTCGGTGGAATCCCCCCCAAAAATATCTATACAGAACATAGCAAAGATTCACCGACCTGCATGTTTCATTCATATTTGGTACAATTGTTGCCCGGCCTAGCTCGGTGTCTTTTTGGTCTTCGATGATGTTCATCTGCTCTGATCGAGTCTTATCAACACACATTCACCGACCACCCCTCCTCCCGATCGATTAATGCTTCACCGTCCAAGCCGGATTGAAGATGAAGATGATCGGAAAATCCGAAGGCAAAATGATGCTGTTGGCTTCATTGACGGCTTCACCACCTCAAAACGAACGCTGCAAACTGCTCAGACTCGCGCGGCACAAACTCACTCATCAAGTGAATGAATTGACTTTCACAGGTCGCATCAAAAAATAGTCATACGGTATACGGCATACCTCACAGACTCATGATTGCTTTCGTCTGCTTGTGTGAGTTGCTGGCTATAGACCCTCTCAAACCAACAAGGAATAGCGTGATGTCAAAACTATGCTTATCGGCTAGTCTTGCTTGGGCAACCTCACGGAACAGCAACCAAAACGGTTTCCGACGTCTGTGAAGGACATTTGCACATCTGTGACGGAATCTTGTAAATTGCTGGATCTATCCTAACATTCAGCTGAGTCAATCAAATGCAACAAACAGTGGAGAAAAGCTGGCCGCCCCCATTCCCTGTCCAAACTCAAACACCGCTTCGCAGCTCAGAACTCCAAACATTCAGAAAACAATTGAACAACTGAGGACGCTACTAGGAGCAAAGGGCATCGCTACTAGGAGCAAGGACGCTACTAGGGGCTCCTGGCCTTACTACTAGGAACAAGGACGCTACTAGGAGCAAAGGGCATCGCTCAGAACTCCAAACATTCTTTGCGGATCTTTGGACAGCGCAGTGTTGCTGAAGGCTCGGACGTTCTTGACACCCGATCATCCCGGACCTCAATATGAACGATGCCCGACCGTCGGACAAGCGAACGGGGGCACATGTGGAACTACAGGGATGAAACCAAGAAAAGTAATTGATTTTTTGGCCTATCCAGCGCACTCGAGTTTGGGATCAGCTGCGTTCTTCACGCTCTGCAACTGAGAATCAGGTTTTGTATCTCCCGGGTATCTGACTTTGTATCTACCTGGGTCACCGACCCAGGGTTGCGTGCAATCCAGGCAGCAAAAGTGATACAATAACGGAGCACGCGACTGTTGTCATTTTTTGCACATTCGATGAGGTGTGGAAGTGAGAAGCACCTGCAGGACCACTGGGGAGAGCGTTAACTCTCCAAAGTAGAATTTTGGTGGTTTTGTGTCGTTTGCACAGTTTTTGTTGTCGTTGGTTGCGCAACATGATTATCAACGACGTGTAGATGTGGGTTGGGTGGGAGGTTCATAACCTTCGACTGCTCCTGCATTTAAGATGCAGCTACGCGCACACACGCATTGGAAGTTGGGAGGGTTTTGGGGGGGGGGGGGGGGGTGGGGGGGGGGGGTTAACTAATGACGTTCGATTGTTCGTGCATTTAAGACAAAACCACATCCACTTTCACGCCACGTGAATGATCTGCGAACCAACGATCTTTTGTTGCTAGCTGGATGAAAAAACAGTTGTCGCACTACATATATCAAGGGCAGTTCAGGAGACTCACCAAACAGTCCTTGTAATTACTGTGCTATCGGCCACTTGCGCCGCAAACACTGCAAAAGTTACACTGCAAAAGTTCAAACATTTGTCAAGACCCGCTGAAACGAAACAACGCACAAAACAAAGTACATTGCCAATTGGCGGTTGAAACATAGTGAACGCGCCGCGCTCCGAGAGGCGCCCCTACTGTGTTTTTTGACTTTGTTGGTTCGTGGTTTATTTGGCTATTTGACACGTCATATGAATTCCTGAAACTGGAGCGGCTTGACATCCATCCACCTTCTATGATACTTTAGTGTTCTGTCCCTTATGTTTGCCACCCACATGTCCATGCGGTGACCTCAAGCGAGCCCTTCAACCCCCTGACATTGATGGGTCTTGGTGGTTTTTGGCGCCGCAACGTCAGAACCGCTTGGGGTGAGAGTCGACCCTTGTTCATGCGAGATGCGGTGTGAGGGGCCACAAGACTTGGTCTTGGACTTGGCTACGCCCTACAAATCTGAAAATGTCCAAGCGATTGTGATGGTAAGGAAAAGAACAAAAATCCTACAGGTTTCTTAACAAAACTAATTACACCTGGTCATCCGACTTCTGCAACCCAAAAAAAACAACGTGGCAGCTCGTAGTTGGACCTTTTTCTCGGATTGCTAGTTCGGCCTTGGACCAAGGCGGATAGCCAACATGTTTCAAACAAAGGATGAGGCTCATTGGCAACGACTCTGGTCCCTGGCGGAGGCCCCTTTCGAAATCGAGACCGACCTTTTCTCGCTCAACTGACGGAAAACGTCCTTTCGTGGCCCAAGGGTCCCATCAAGGCCCACAGGCGAAACGGGGGCGCTGGGACCACGCCTTGAAAATGACACACACCAAGGCAAACCCAGCAGGGTGATGAGCCGGATCTGCCGCATTGACACATGTTTTGTCTCGCAAAATGACGCGCTGGCAATATCGTGGTTGAACCCCCCACAAATCTTAAGGACACACAAACATTGTGACATTGGGAGTCCCCTCATTTTTGACAAAAACAATTGGGTTCTTCATGCCCTCCTCCGCAACCGCTTAGGCCTTCACACAAATGCGGTTGAAAAATTGGGCAAGACCCCAGCCAAACCGAAGTATAGTTTTTGCTATGGTCTATCTATCTTTGCACTCCCGGATAGGAACGACATTTTTCAATCTGTTTAAACAACATCGGTACAGATTAGTGAGGGGGAGTACCCTACTGGTAACTTACAATTTCCTAGGGTGGAAAGTGCAATATTACATTTTTTGTCTTGAGCGTCAACAATGTAATGTTGCATTTGCGCTCACCAGACTAGAATTGAAATTAACCGGAAATATTAGAGAGTACCCCCCTCTACCACGCTCCGGCAAAAATAGCTAAGTTGCATGTTCCACCTTTGTCAGCCCACCTGCTGAAAATGTCATATTACATGCTGAAGGGAAGTTGGGCACTGATGTTTGCAAAGGCTTGATTGCACCCCGTTCTATGCTGATTGATGGCACCTGGCGCGTCTGATTTATCTTTCATTCTGTTCCATTCTATGTCTGCTCTTCTCAAATCAGATTTGTAAACTCATACTATCTCATTCTTGCTCTCCTTCTCACTTGCTTTGAATACATCGAAAGCTGGCACACAGCTGTTCGTTCTTCAAGTTGGAACGTTTAGACTGGAGGCTGCAGCCATTTTGGATGCGGATGCAGCCAGCGCCCACCTTTACAAATGCACAAAGACACACTTGGCCTAGGTGAGCCCCTGTCAAAACATATTGCCAGGATCTGTCACGTAGAAGAATGCCCACTTCCTGAAATTCACGCCCGCCCTTCTTTTCTTCATGTTTTCCGTCCTTCTGAGTTACAATGTGACCGTAAGGGGAATTGTATGGACACTTTATTGACGGTTTTTCGTGTACATCTTGTTTTCAAACGTTGCCTTCCAATATCTGTGTGCATGACGCTGTTTTAGAGGTATCCAAGCACGTAGCTCCACTTTCTGCACATCTTTGTGCGTTTATTCCTTTCTTCTTTAGACCTTTCTTCATTTTCTGATTTTCTTGCCGTTTCTCTTTGTTTCTAGATACCATTAGGGCCATCATCCGATTCCTGACCAAACCGTTCGCGAGAATCATGTACTGCATTTGACTGTTGATATTGATTTTTTCCTCCTGAGCAACCATTTGACCGTAAAGGCCTTGCGTGGACTTTTTATTGACTGTTTCTCCCGCAAGCATTTTAACGTCTGTTGTTTTGATATGTCCCCTTTCAACTTCCAAGTGCGTGCCACTAGTGTAAACAGATAGAAAAATGTAGTGTACAGTTTTGGGGTTTCCGCTTCTTCACGCCTTTCTGTGTTTTTTCCGTTTTCCTTGAACCCTTTCTATTCTTTTCGTTGTCCTTTCTTTCTAGGTGTCATTGGAGACCTTAAGGCTATCACCAGGTTCCTGGCCGAGCCGCTTGTGAGAATCGGTCACTGCATTTTGTTGCTCGTTCGCTTTTTTTCTGAATGTCAGTAAACTAAAGATGACCC